ATCCCTTCCTTCTGGCCCCCTCGTCGGGCAGGTCTTGGTGCCATTAGTCCATTAGTCCACTAATTCCAAAAAAAAAAAAAATATCTCATGGGAGGGGACGGTGCTTTGCACCTTGCAATATCCACCCCCCATTGCTTAATCTTAGATCTGCCTAATGATTCCATTCCTACAGTCTGCAAATAGCAAAAGTACATCAACAAGGACATCAGTGATACTGAGTTAATATTGTTAATGTACTTACAGTAGTACTGAATTTGTATATTTATATTGCAACCTTAATGAACTTCATTATCTTTAGTATTTTTTATACACTACATAATATATAATACTGTACATGGCTCGCCCACGTATTTTTTGTAATTTTCTTTTATCGTTAAAGGTGTGGTCATATCAATATCAACAGGACGTGCAGTGTATATCATGATATAATGTAATATTATCCACATTATCTTATTATAATCAAAAATCAAGCAACAATGAATCACTGTTTGCGAAGACAACTAGAATAATTGTAGAAGCATTGGTATTCTGCAGCAATTTAATCATAGGTTTTTTTGTATGTAGTGGTGTATATGTAGATGTAGGCCTATGTGGGATTAGAGGCTCTGCATCTGACCGAAAGTGTCCGACCGAGTACAGTACTGTACAACAATTCTAATAGAGGCCAGGGAAATTTGCTACTTCACAATCACTATTAAATTTTTAACACCATTGGCACCAAAAGTAGTGTAATATGCTACATATAATAAAGCAAGAGGTGCTCCTTTATGGTGAAATATAAGAAGGTGTAGTAATATATGGTTTATGTAACCATTATATTATAAACTCAGTGTCAAACACTAGGCAACTTTCAATTGGGCCATACTCAAGAAAAAGTATAGCAGGCATCATCACACATCTGTAGAAAAACAAAAATTGTGGGAGACTGGCATTTCTAAGACTCTGTGGCCACTGGTGCCAGCAGTGGCTCCAGTAATTTGCCAACGGTGGTCCGAATCAAGGGTCCAACTCAGAGCCTACGTCAGGGTCCTGGAATACAAAATCCCAGGTAGGGTTCCCCTGAGTTTTATGGCTTAGTATGGCCCAAATTGTGCTTTTAGATCAAAATATTTGGGATTGCCAATCAAAATAACATTACAGTATTTGAGTAGGCAAATTGTTATTTTGATCCGACAACCTTGTTGTGCAGTCAGACAACGAGGGGTCCAAGCCCATCCAAAAGGGAGTACCCTCAGCCCCTACTGGTGCCAACACTACCTGGTATATACTACAGTACTGTAGTAAGCATACAAAAAAAAAACAAGTCAAATATATTCCAAGTTTGATGTTTAATTGTCATTCACAGAGCAACAGCGCTTACAACTAGTTTGTATAATTCTGCAATAGTAGATCTTGTCAAATGGAAGTCAGAGAATCTCTCAAGATGCTGCTCAACAAACTACCTTTCTCAAGTTTGTTTTATAGTTTTCGTACTCTAATTTACATCCAGTTTGTTTTTAAATGTCACATTGAAATGTGTCAACACTAGAATTAGCTCTTTAATCTCCTTTCCATGAATTTAGTATTATACCCTTGATGGTTTGTGTGAACCAATGAATGAGAAGCAATCTTATTCCTTGTTTGGATCAACATCTAAAAAACATTTTTTCAAAAATATTTTCCAAGAGAATACATATATTTAATGAAATATTCACCCATCCAAAACATCAAGAAAAAAAAAATTATATTTCCATATTATTGGGAAAAAATGGCAAAACAAAAACATACAGGAATAGTGGTTATATTTAAAAGTACAAACCAGGTTCATGAACCCATAACTTCCAATTTAATTACAAAAATATTTGAGTGAAATATTTGGTAGAGGAAATTCATAATTTTCATGCATATGACTATAGAGTGTTCTGTAATTTTTATAATTTTATTTGCATAAAAAAAGAAAAAAATAAATAATGCTATACACAATAACAAATTAGCTGACTAATTGTTAAATTCCTAATCACATGCAAATCGTAACATTTATTAACTACATACATCTTGATGTAAAAAATTAGCTTTATCTACATACGAAAACCTTTATTGAATAACAAATCACTAAAAGCCTCTTGCACAATCTAAAAGTAATTACAGTATTGGTTCAATCTTTGATATTTTTAACAGTACATAATTGTGTCAAATTTATGCAAAATTGAATAGATGGAAGTCCAAATCTACTTATGTAATTGGCAAGTTTCAAGTAATTTAATTTAACAACTGATTGAAAATTGAAAATTAAATTGTGGCATCATTGTTCAATTATATTTATTTTTTATTTGATTAGACATTAAGCCCTAAATAAAAATGTTTATTTAATCTCCAACCAACATTAATGATTTCTACCAAAATCCATCCGAGCACTATGTTTAACTTCAAGGAGATTGTTTTACTCCGCGTTTAAGGGAGGCATATATTCCAGGGAAGCATTTCCACGAGAAGGATTTATATTTTTAGGTGTAAACTGGATGCGTATAATTTACTCAAATAAATGCCCTTCAATTTCTCCGGAGATGTATACAACAAAAAATTGTAAAATAATATTATTGTATCATCCTGGTACAATAACACTTCTACTGGACTAAACTTTGGTGTTACTTTCATTAGCTTTGTTCACTGTCATTTGGAAAGGGGGAATTATTCATGGGAAAAATCAATTCACCAAGACGTATAATTCAGGGTGGCAATTATTCCAAGCAACATTCTGGAGGTGTTAGTTATTTGAGGGGTGTTTATTCAATAAATACTGTACATTATTTTTAAAACTTCTTGGTAGGAATCTAATACCAAATAATATGCCAATGCATCTAGGGACTGATGCTTGAGTAAGATGTATTTTTGTCAGGAATATCAAACCCGACAATCCAAATATTCATATAGCATGGTGCAAATACTATCTTTTGGTCCTTTGTGCAATTTTAAAACTACAAAAAAATCAATGAAAAATTTGATTCTAGAAATTATTACAAAATATAAGTAAAATTCAAATAAAATAATAAACAGCTTTTTTGTTAAATATTATATTTGGTAAAAAATCTATTTTTATCAGATATCGCTTGTTGCTAATTATTCTCTAAATTTCATGTTACAAAAATAATCTAAATCTTGAAATCAAAATGTAGCACAGCACCCTAATATACACCTTCCATCACCACAACCAAATGTTAAAAGCCAAAGCCATAAATAAAAAAAAGTTGAGAAATAGTGAAAATGCAAATTATTGAGGTAATAAAATACAGTGTATATTTATGATAGTTTGATGCGATGTAAATAAAGGAAATAAACCATATTGTTACCAACATCACAGAAGAGTACTCTTTCCGGAATATGCTACAAAAATTTGAAATGTTGGGTACAATTTTGGAAGTGGTAAAAGAGATGCATTGTGGGTAGTAGAAAGGTGTGGACTAGGAATTTAAAGATCATCTTTGTCCTTGGTTCCGTGTTTCAGAATACGTACAAACTCGCGATAGTTGAACTTGCCATCTTTGATCGGTGCTTCCCTGTACATCTCATCTACATCATCGTCATTGAAGCGATCCCCCATCGTCATCAGCAACTCACGGAGGTAGTCATCATTTATGACACCTGAGTTGAAAACAAAATGTATGGAAAAAACAATGATAAAAAAAAAGTTAAAATCAATTACTGTAGAATTACATTATTGATTTAATACTGTATGTGAAAAAGGGGGGTCCCAACATGTCAAAAAGGGGGTCCAAACCAAGAGGCTGACTAGAGCCTCGGCCGGTTGCCGAGTAAAATCCCTTGTAAGGTTTATAAACATGAACCAGATATCTGATGTTGCTGTGCTTGGGCAATACAACCATTTTTTTGCCTTCGACTTCTCTTTTGGACAGTATATCATGATATCTACTAACCAGTTCCTTCATCATCAAAGCAACCGAAGGCGTTAAGGAGGACATCTTCTGGATCGGTTCCATTCAATTTCTCTCCGAAAAGTGTCAAGAACATAGTGAAGTTGATTGGACCAGGTGCATCCTTCATCATTCCCTCTAGGTAGTCGTTAGATGGATTCTTACCTTGAGTAGTGCAAGAAAAAGAACTTATAAAATATATTGAGAATAAACTTTTTGTTTTAAACAAGATCAGAATCCAAAAATACAAATTTTACAGTTTTATCAAATGTTAACATTTTTTTTAAAATATTTTCTGTGTGTGTGTGTGGGGGGTGGGGGGGGGTTTCCTCCATGCCAACGCTTTCACATTTTATCCTCCTTTAAAGGGAAGTGACTTGTTACTTATTGCATTGATGATCTGAGAAGTCCTGGAAAAAAAAAATCATGATGAACAAAGAATCCTAGGATTAAAAGGCAAGCATCTTAACCACCAAACTACAGCACAGCTCCACTTCAAACTCGTTAATATAAATCAACTTCAAATTATGATTTTTATATGCATGATTGACTTAAATTTAAAGCCAGATTTCAGTCTGGAGAAAAACAATTTTTTTTGGTAATCTTTATCTTTTTAAAGACTTAAGAAGGTGGTTACGGGCTCTTTTTACCACCATCTTTAAATACAGGATTCAAAATTAACCGTTGTCTTAGAAAAATCACTCGTACAATGTATCAAATTTGTTTTTCTCCTTAGCCTAGCAAAAAAAATTAGATGGATCAGAGAATTAATGAAAGTGAATGATGTACTGTACAGTAGTAGTGACTGGACACCTTGCGAGAATAGATGAACAGAGACAAAATGACAACTCCAATATGGAAAGAGGATGAGAAATAAGCTGATAAAAGAAAACATGGATGACACTTTGGAAGAGACTGAAAGAAAAAAAAAATTACCACTTAAAAATAAAGAAGTACACTACATACCAAGTGACGCCAGCATGTCGTGCAGATCATCTTTGTCAATGAAACCGTCTCTATTCTGATCAATCATGTTGAATGCTTCTTTGAATTCTTGGATCTGAGCTTGATCAAACATCGCGAAAACATTAGAAGTCGCACGCTGTGCACGCTTCTTTGTTGTCTTTCCCTTAGCTTTTCGGCTCGACATTATTTCTGGTTTCTTTTTAAAATATTTTATACAAAGTTACAAAACCTATAAAAAGAACAATTTTTTGTTAGGAAATATATTCAGATTTACTTAGAGGATAATGTTTTACTGAACTTCTGTTGTACTTTACCAATGTAACAATGAAATATAATGTCTTACAAACTGCAGTACTGAATACACTTTTTCAGAGATGTACTGTAGTTATGGTGGGTGGGGTCTAAAGCTTTTAATATCATACAGTAGCCTTCCGGCCACTTATATTAACTCCCTTGCCCATCCTTAAAATCCACTCTTATTTTGAGTTCACCAACGCTATCACCCACCCACCCACTCTTAGTTTTCTACAGCTACAACCCTGATTTTGTTCTATATCTTTAATTTATTTCCCCCACCCCTCAATTTACTGTAACTTCAACCTAAGATGACCTGGTGATCAGATTACAAAGAAGTATACTTGTTCTTTAGCTTTTGTATTACATTAATAACAGTTGAGTGGACCTAAAGTCTATTGATAAAAGATATATTAGAAATATGCATAGGTTACAGATAATTTACCAGTTACCGACAATTGGTAAATTATCTGTAACAGATGCATTTCCAATATATCTTTTCTCTTACATCAATACAGTAGATAACTTGTTTAACAAATACAGTGAGCAATGACAAGCAACTCAGATTACAGACCAAATTGCCACATGATGTTGTATATGATGATTGACAGGTTTCAATGTCAATCTAATAAAATCTGTCATACTATTACTGGTTTAGTGTTCTGTGCTATTGTTAATATGCAAGGTTGATTTACTGACCGTACAGTACATCAAAAATAAAGATATTATTTTCAGGATAAACTATTGTACAGTAGGCCTACTATGGTCTGTATGAACTGAACATACACCACTTGCAGCTGCCAGCATTGTCAAAATAAATGGTTTAAGATATTTTGGTTCTCTCCATCAAAAAATAAATAAATGAAAATAAATAAAAGAAATGAAGGAAAAAAATGACTTGTTTATATTTCTCTAAAAAGCAGCTTCAATATTAAGTACTGTACTTGTAAAATATTATAAATTTAAGTATATACAATTATTAAGATTGATTTAAAAGCATCACAATAAATTATATATAATTATTTTGTTATTTACTGGTACTGTACTAATAAATTAAATTACTTGCAGAATAGTAAATAACACCTGTATACTGAAAGGCCTAAAATTATAACTATCAGACAATTTTAACTTATAATTTTTGAACCAGCTGTATGAAACATGAAAATATCTAACAAAATAAATTACATAAATCTTAAAAATCAGCTCAAATTTAAATAAATTTAGTCCAGGGCAAAACCTGGATTCACAACTACTGTAAGCAGACAGGTTGCTGGGTGGATTAAGGATTACAGTACATTTTCTATCAATCTTGTCTATTCTATTTGATTATGCTCAGAAGAAATGATTTATTTTAATCAAATGTATTTCAGCTTAGCCACCTATGGTCAGAGACATTGCAGATTATAATTACACAAGAAAAACGATCACATTAATAATTACAGATTATTTTCATGGATCTTTGTAATCAATTTAATAATTTCAGTAGATAAAAGTTGTAAATAAGTTTGAACAAAAACCCACTTATTTTGATTTCTGTCTCCAGTGATGTCTCAGTGATTCTAAAATTCCTATCAATGCGTATGGGGTTTACTAATAAAATATTTAAGTGAACGGTTATAACAGACAGTATACATTAAACTCTTTGTTATAAATCTTACGGGCAAACAACGACTTACAGTTACTCTCTAATAAGGTAAGGAAATGTAGCCCACACAACTACAATTAATACCCAGGTAGTTCCTAGTGCAAATACTAGGAAATGAGAAAACTGTATAGTGTTGGGTCCTGAATAACAAAGAGGAAATATTAAATACTTAGATAACCCGAGAGTGTTTACTGTACTGTACCATAGGATTGTTGCAAAATTAAACACTAAAATTCAGTGTGCACACACTATTTTTCCATGTCGTCCTATTAAATGTTGTTGGGTTTATTTTTTTATTTAATTTTTTATTAATTTTCTTTTCAACTTTTTCCAACTAAAGTATATTAGCCACGTTGGATGGAGCTGAAGAAAAGGAATTGACATTGAAGTGGTTTTTAAACGTAAGATGGTAGAGGTCTAGTTCCATTCATTATGATAAAAGTACATCATGTAAATTTATGGCCATGAAGCAAACACTTAAAGGGTCAGTCTAGTGGGAGTCCACTTGCATATATAAACATCCTTCCTTTTTATTGGGAATCAATTTTGTTAGCAGTAACTGCAATACAGTATCTGTGCCTACACATGCACTTTTGAGTGTAATTGAAGGTGAGACTTTTTTATAATTTGTTTAACGAACCCTCATACCGCCAATAATACTGATTTCTAATAAAAATAAAATATTATTTTTGGCCAGTCAGTGCCTCCTTCAGCCACAAAGAAAAAAAAAAAATGTTAATTTCAGAAAACGTTTTTTTTAATAATGTATTTTTATTATGACACCCACTCTCCTGAAATCTTCAAAATATAAGATTTCTTCCTTTTAAATTATATAAATTACCTTCACCCAAATAAGGGTAAAAATACTGTAGGGTGGGTGTGGCACTCCCATTAATGTCGTGAACAGAAACATGGTGGTATGGCATTTACAATCAAAACTTATAATAGGCATGAAGTTCTATTCAAGCTATCACATTTTATCATGTGACAAATTTGTGTGATATTCCCATATATGGGCATGATCTCATATTATACCCAAATATGAGCATATCACACACTGTATTTGTCATATAAAATTTGATGTTTTGGACTGAGACAGTAAAGCGTTTTTTAAAATTTATTTTTATTATGATACCCACTCTCCTGAAATCTTCAAAATATAAGATTGCTTCCTTTTAAATTATATAAATTACCTTCACACAAATAAGGGTAAAATACTGTAGGGTGGGTGTGGCACTCGTTGTGAACAGAAACATGGTGGTATGGCATTTACAATCAAAATTTATAATAGGCATGAAGTTCTATTCAAGCTATCACATTTTATCATGTGACAAATTTGTGTGATATTCCCATATATGGGCATGATCTCATATTATACCCAAATATGAGCATATCACACACTGTATTTGTCATATAAAATTTGATGTTTTGGACTGAGACAGTAAAGAAACCCTGTATCAAGGAAAGAGGCCAGACAGTGAACACACACAAAAAAAATCAGAACATTGTTTTAAGTCACATAAAATGGCATCACATTTCATTGACATCTCTCACAAAAACTTAAAAATTGTAGTATAGTAGTAGGCCTACTATAGTTCTATTGGAAAATTTAAAATTCCTAATTTATTGTTTACGGTTTAGTTTAGCAATAGCATGACAACATTACTGTGAAAGTTGAAAGTTGCTTCATTTCAAGGATATGTATGGGACAGACCAATTGATTATTAATTGGAATAACACAGGTCTAGCCTAGACTAGTGTAGGCTCGAAATGAATACCCACGAACAAGTGAAGTCAATAATTTTAAAACACTAATCATCATTACCAAAGAATTTGTGGAATGTGTGGTTAGAAATTATCAATCCCGTCTCACTAGGCTTAGGTATTCTTTCTTCTAGACCACTTTCACCACAAAACTACCACCACTACTACAATTCATTGTGTTTATTCAATCAAATTTAGTCATCAATTAAAATAAGAAAAAACATCATCACATGCATCAAATTTTTTTTTTAAATATATCTACTGTATCTAGCTGTACAGTAGGCCTAGCCCTCGAGTGTGGCAGAATGTAACACATTAAGAATAAAGACTGTCGAATTTCATGTGTCTTTGAACAGGGCATCTCCCTGGTTTGAAGTTCAATTTCTTGTGGTTTAATACTGTATTTTTGGCTTCAGTTAAAAAATGAGATGGGTCTAGTCGAGAAAAGTAGTAGCCAGACTAGGCTTCTTCCTTATCCAGAGAAATATGCTAAAAAAAAAAGATATACTGTATGACACAATACAATTGATTGAAGAAACAGTTTATTCGGTGATAGTCAGCAAAGAGGATATTTGAACACCCTTTCGTTAACCGTGTAGGCTAACCATACATCCCTAGTTAGTAGGATCGACTACGCCCGCATCCTCCTACCTCTGGCTCTGCTGTTGGAACTGCTAGACCTACCACTACCCTGGTCTACCTAACGACTACTACCCAAGACAGACAGTATTAATTTCTATAATAAATTAGATTATCAGTGATACACAACAATTCCACAGTTCAATAGTATTTAGCAGTATAAAAGGCAAAAGTAATCGAGTTTTCTTGCCTTCTCTACTTACCTTCCGCACTTCTCAATTACAGTACAGTGGTTTGATTGTTGACCATCCCAATCAGTAATACGCATGCTCAGTGATACCGGAAAGCTATAGTATACAATCAAACGGGCTTCAAGTAGTTATATAATAACCTACCTAACCTACGCACTCAAGAGGTGCGTCAATCAAAAAAATCTTAAATGAAAATTAACAACTTAAATACATTATGAAACACCTTAAGACTACTTGGATATACTACATATACGCATAGCATCGTTTTTCGTTTACCGTACCAGGGGCGGATCCAGAGATGTCCAAAAGGGGGAACCGAAGGCCCGGGACCGAAAGTTGGGCCTTGAGACAACAATGTCCATGTGTTCTAGACGCCCGGAAATAACATTTGAGGCGTTCTGGGCTGTCATTTTTTTTCTTTTTCTTACTTTCTTTTTTACCTCCAAAAAAAAGGGGGGAGGGGCGGTCCCCCTAAATCCGCTCCTGCGTCCTGATCGCGCTTATAAATGGAAATAGATGAAAAATGAAAGGGATATACACGTGCTCTAGATGGGTAGGCCTACTTGAAAAATTCAGGGCGCCGTTTTGAATGAAAACAAATGTTATAATTAATTTAAGATAAGCGAATGGTTCTGGTGCAGAAAAGTAGTA